ATTTTACATAATTGGTGTTAAGTACACTCAATGCTTGTTATTTAATAAAGTTGCCTAGTTTATTACTGTGCCTTATGGCCATAATTTTATTGCAAACTACTTTGCTTAAGTTGTCTCTTTGATATGACACTTTATTTGCCATCCTTGACCTCTACTACATATCACTTTTCATAAATATAGTCATAGATTCTAAAAAGCAAAAGTAATAATGATAATTTTATGGGACTTGATTACAAACAGTTACTATAAGAAAAATAATACTGAAGTGTCACGATTCTTATAATATAAAATATTTTCCTTATATTATGCGCATTTTAATGTCCAAAGGCGACTGTTGGGTAGTTGCCGCACTAGCTGCTATGTCTGTTCAACCTGGATTGTTGCATCGATGTATCCCTGTTGGCCAGTCGTTTCGGCCTGAGTGGTATGTTGGGGCGTTTTGCTTTCGATTCTGGAGGTTTGGCTACTGGGAAGAGGTAGTCGTTGACGACCGGCTCCCGATGCGGGCTGATGCCAGACCGCTGTTTATACATTCTGGTCGGCATGGCGAATTCTGGCCTGCCCTCATCGAAAAGGCCTATGCCAAGTAAGTCAGTATCGACTAACATTTTGAAATAATAATTTTCAGCTTAGCCTCAATCAAACTAATTTAGCTTCAAGATATTGGCATATCTGATAATAATATAAGATATTTCTGAGAAAAATATCTAAAAGATCTTTTGCTGACTGTCGAAAAATTAGGATCATACCTAAGAATGCCCTATCTTGATATCTCCTCAAATTCATATAATCTTTATTTTTGCATTAAATAAAAAGCCAATTATCATTATGCCCCTTAGAAGAGAGTTTAGCTTTATTAATATTTTTCATTGGTCATGCATGAATGTCAAAAATCTATGACAGGGATTACACGTTTATTTTATTTGGCTATCAGGTCAATTTAAGAAACAAAAAAATGCCCATATTATCAAGTAATAATAACTGTATTATTTACTTCCTGCTAGATGCTTT